AGTAATAAAAGAGCTAGGGTTTCAGTAAAGGAACTCACATTCATATACGAGCATTTTCCTCCTATAGGGATGATCCACTCCACTGTATAGGTTTCTTCCCACCATGATAAGCCCAGATTGACAAATCACTAACGCCATAACCCTCAAAATCAAGAGCTGATCTGATATTCTGAGAAAACAAATCCACATCGCGACCAGGAGGGATTGGGGATTCCTCCAAGTCCCAGAAGACGTGCGTTCGACCATCTGCAAAAACGCATAAAACAATCAGATCGATGATCAGATAAACAAACAACTTTCGAGCTATAGAGATAAATCTTACCGGCACAATCATATTGGCCCATGGTTTCGATGACAGACTCTGAGAGAAACAAAAAAAAAGTATATATATTAGGGTTTCACAGCTTTGGATGAGTCTTGTTTCAAGTGTTTAGAAGATGGGTCGTATATATATGTTATAAGAAACTTGTTCTCCAAGAAACTAAATCTCGATTGATTCTACCCATCATTACAGTCAAGTAGCTTAGGGTAATTTAGCATTACCCAAAAAATCTTTTGGTAAATTAATGGAAATTTTCTACCAGTTTTTCCTTTTTTGTTTTTTCAAGGGTCTATATAGACACCGCTAATGGAAATTTGCAAATTTTTGTCTCATTCCTAACATCCTCGTTTTATTTTCACTTGTAAATTTATAATATGTATGCTCTTTTTCGAAAGAATATTTTGGTTGTTTATAAACCTGATAGTGTAGTTGTAAAATAACTCATTGTTCATTTTTTAATGTCTAGAAGAAAATGAAAACTCAATATTTATGCATTGATATATATTTACATTTCAAGTTTCAATCAAAGAACAATGAACGTTTAAGTTTTTGGAACTGTTATACGGCTTGTCTAATGTACATCAACAATAAAAAAAGAAGAGAAAAAAAAAGCAAGTTATTTTCATGTTATGTTTTGATTCTAATACGTATTAGTTAGTGGTGCCATTGAATCTTAATTATAACATTATATATATTTGATATTACTCCATATATATAATCTTTGCCGCGTATGTAGAGCTACTAACAAATGTGTTTTGTAGTAGTTAAGAAAGTCTTGTATATGTTTACCGTGGTCTTCTTCTTTGCCATGTGATGGTTTACTTGAGAGTTTAGTCCCTTCCTTCTAAAAAATCCACATAAAGTGTCTCAAACGTAACCGGAACATGAAAAAGTGTCGCACGTAAATCACTCTTAATTCGATACGGTTGCATTGCATTGTGGATAAATTATTTTTTCTTACAAATCCATACAAATCCATTGACCATGAATCATTTCAATTCGATTCTTCATCGTTTGACATTAATGGGCTTATGAACAAGGCCTAGAGAAATTATAATGTTTTGGTGGATAGGCGCGTTACAATTAGAGAATAATGGACAAAGAGGTATTCAATATGTTCGTTTATAGAATGGTTTCATCCATAAGAAAATTAGTGGGCACGTGGAATATTTACATACTCAAAACAGAATTAACGTAACATTTA